AGGGTTTGCTTTAATTATAGCATATGACTGAAGAGAAAACTCTTTATTCTATGAATTGGACATATTATCCTATGTTCTGCTGGTTTTCTAGACTGTAAACCTAATGGATCTTGCTGTGTGGTGTGACCTGAGATCCTGAACATATTTTGATAATAGGATTATCCTAAGAAATAAAAAATAAAGCCCCCCCCCCCCCCCGTTTTTTTTTTCCTGAAGGGGATCAGAATGATCCAGTCCCCCTTCCTGTGGTATTACGTGATGATTTAAAAATTGAAAACAGTTTTCAGTAGTTAAAATTTGTCACTTTTCTTACTTGAAATAAAATAAACATTACTTTAAAATTTTGAGATACAATAAACATTCAGAATACGATCCTCATCTCATATTCCTTCACGTTTTTGTACAAAATGCTTACATGCAAATGCTGTTTTCAGATATCTCTTAAACTACATAAGGAAAGCTTTGAGGTAAAGACACTGAAACTCAGAGAGGTTGTAGGTGGCAGAGTACAACCTTGGCTCAGTGTTTCTTGCATTACACACTACACCACATTACAGCTTTCAACCAAGTGTAACCCTCCAAATAGCACTTTTTATGTTGACTCCTTTTGTCACTCTGAAGATCTCTATTATAAGTATGGGGAAATAAGAATATAGAAATATAGGGTTTTAAAAATATATGGGCCGGGCCGGGCGCGGTGGCTCAAGCCTGTAATCCCAGCACTTTGGGAGGCCGAGACGGGCGGATCACGAGGTCAGGAGATCGAGACCATCCTGGTAACACGGTGAAACCCCGTCTCTACTAAAAATACAAGAAAAATTAGCCGGGCGAGGTGGCGGGCGCCTGTAGTCCCAGCTACTCGGGAGGCTGAGGCAGGAGAATGGCGTGAACCCGGGGGGGCGGAGCTTGCAGTGAGCCGAGATTGCGCCACTGCACTCCAGCCTGGGCGACAGAGCCAGACTCCGTCTCAAAAAAAAAAAAAAAAAAAATAATGGGCCTAATTTTCCAACTTTCCTCTCTTTGGTTTTCAAAATGGTGAAGCAGTTCTGCTCAATAGCTAGGATTGTTGATCTGGTTTGGGAGTCTACTCAAAGAATATATTTTCTACCCAGAGGATTCACAAAACTTATTACTTAACCTGAGCTTCCTCCAGCCCATATGGCACCTTTCTTCTTCTTCTGGGCCAATGCAGATGTGGGCTGAGCAGATGGCTTGGTGAGGGAAATCTGGAATGCAATTCAGCTCCCACTCACCCTCTGTCCGGGTGGCATTGTGTAGAGTACCCCAAGACAAACTACAGATCCTAGGTTAGTCTTTAGACAGCATTAGAGAGGAGAAAAGTGCACTTATCATTAAGTTAGGTTGCTTTCTGAAAACTTGATGCCACTAGATCCTGGAGGATTTAAGAGTAGACTTAACATTCTCTTCGTCATATAGAGCGCCTCAGAAGTGCTGGACCTGTCTTAACTATGGAGTCATGTGAACTGGAAATTACCCAAGTCCACTTTTAGGAATCTCCATTAGACTGAACAAAAGGGACTTAGTTAAAGAAATTACTTGAATGTTTCCTGGCTGAAATAATCTCACTACTGTTTTCTGGATGACAAAGAGAGTCACAGATAACCAACTGATTACCCATTTTGAGCCTCAATTAGTTAATTATAAAAATTCTGCCCAATGTCTCCAGGATAGGATTAATTAAGATGTCTGAACAACTCACATAAGTCTGTTTGAATGAGGATGGAGTGGCTTCTCTGGAAAATTAACATTAAAGAAAGATCCAAGGCCCTGCATGGGGAAGAACGTACCCATGCAGGGGCTTGGGTCTTTCTTTAAGAAGAAATAACTTATCACATGGATGACAGTAGTGATCTGAATTTGATTTGCTGGATTTCTGTTGAATGTGTCTTTGGCAAGTCCTTGAAAAAAAAATGTCTGATTCTAGAAAGAAATAGAATAAGTAAAATTGAAAGCATATGTCACTTAAAACTTTATAACATTAGGGCAGTAGTTCAACCACCATAAAGATGGGGCTTTTTTGATAGAATATGATATGGAGCAGAAAAATACACTGAGTGTTGCTCCACATGCTTTAACGTCCTGTCTTCACATTTCTGTAAGCTAAGACTACATGCACCTTACAGGGAGGGTTGCTGTACTTACTTGCATGACTATGAGCAAGCACACATACAATTCAGTCCTTAACAAGTTGTTTTAGTCTATTGGTCTACTATAACAAAACACCATAAACTGGATAGCTTCTAAACAAGGGTTCATTTTCTGACTCCTATACAATATTTTCCTGCTGTGTCCTCACATGGGGGAAGAAGCAAGGGATTTCTCTTAGGCTTCTTTTATGAGAACACTAATCCCACTCATGAGGGCTCTGCTCTCATGACCTAATCACTCCCCAAAGGCCTCATCTCCTAATACCATCACCTTGGGGGTTAAGGTTTCAACATAGGAATTTTGTAGGAGTACTCAAGTATTCAGACTAAAAGCACAAGTCCTTTTAGATGAATACAGTAAAATGTAAGAGAGAGGAAGCAGTGCCTCTCTGCTTAGCAAACTCTAGCCAATTAGTTTGAGGAAGAAATGAAGCTGTCTTTGCCAGGTACAAATACTGCTTTCTCATCCCAGAAATATGAAGTTAATTTCCATTCTCATGTGGAAAACTTGTGCTTCTAATACAGGTGTACTAAATATAATGCATGTGTGCTCTTCTCTTCAAAGATGCAACCATGGAAAACATGGCTGGTTAGTCACGTAACTTTTTCCAGAGCCAGAATGTGGCCTGAGAAGTCTCCTTAGCACAGTGCTCCAAGAAGTAACTAAAAACTAAAAACTTGCAACCCCTGTTCTAATATATTTTGAAACAAAAATACGCCATCTGGGGACATAAGTTCTTTATTAGAAAGGAAAGTTAAGTCCCAAGTTATGCTCTATTTAAGCACATGATCTTTTAAAATAGTAACTATTTACAAAAAATAATAGCTATCTTTAAAATAGTAGCTATCTACAAGGGATCCTTGCAGGAGGAAGATCCTTTTCCTGAGCTCAAGGCCACCATGAAAACATAACCGAAAGTTGGAAGGTCTTAGCCTGAATATTCAGATTATATTTCTGAAACACTCAAGACACTGAAAACTTCTTTAACCTCCAGTTGCTGAATAGATATGTGTGGCAATACACAAGTCAGTTTACCTTTGGTTTTCAGGGATGGATTAAACAAAAAGGACTTAGACATTCTGGCTAGAGTTTGATTGGCTGGCTTTCTGTTGAATGTGTCCTTGGCAAGTCCTTGAAAAAAATGTCTGATTCTAGGCAGAAATAGAATAAGTAAAATTAAAAGCATATGTCACTTAAAACTCCATAAGAGTAGGGCAGTAGTTCAACCAACATAAAGATGGGGCTCTTTTGATAGAATATGATATGGAGAGGAAATTTTTATGTGAAATATAGTGGATGCAGATAAATTACCTCTCTACTCCAGCCTTCTTATATTCTTAATGTGGGGCTCTTTTTAGAGGAGGTTCCATCCCTGGAACGGATTGATATTTGTCTCTGAATGCAACGAGATGAAAGGAAGTGGGTCTGTGTTCATTGAGGGGTATACAAATCACTCTCTGTGAATGGATGACTTTAAGGTAGTAAGATTATTTAAATAATTTCTTCAGTGTAGTTTTTATTGGTTCATTCAAAGAGGCTGAACCTATGGCTGATGAAGACAGATACTGGACTCATCTGTCTACTAGTTACTGGAAAAAAAAGGATAAACTTTTGTTACTAGAAACTGACTCATTCTTAGGCAAAAATAGAGAAAGTAGGCAGGAGGAAATAGTAGGTGAGGTGATTTATTGGTTAGCCAATTTCCTAGCCAGGCAAGACAATGTATGAAGTGCATAGAATCTGGGTCTTAGGGTGTGGCGCACATTGACCAAAGGGGTAAGGGAGAAAGGTTGCAGAATAGCTGCATATTAAAATATATATTAAGACTTTATCACATTTTTGATACTCAGATTTGCTGGTTTCCCTGGCAACTAGAACCCACCTCACTTGTTGTGCAATCTATGACAAAGATAGACAGGTAGCTAGCTAGATGGAGAGATGGATAGATAGGTGGTAGGTTACTTTTATGCTAATATACCGAGGTTTTATCACTGTTAACTCAAAATTCCACTCATCTATGTGCTGTGGTTTAAATATTTTACATTTGACAATGTGGATTTGACAATCTTTCTGTAGCAAAAATATGATGTATGTAGCAGTATAAAAGAGAGATTGAACAACATTACTGAATATAGTTGGCCCTCCGTGTCTGTGGGCCCACATTCATGGACTTAATCACAGATCAAGAATATTCAGAAGAGAAAAAAAGGATAGTTGAATCTGTACTAACATGTACAGACATTTTTCCTTGTCATTATTTCCTAAACAATATAGTATAACAACTATTTATATAGCACTTACATTGTATTAAATATTATAAGTAATCTAGAAATGATTAAAAATACACAGGAAGATGTGCATGAGCTATACGGAGATATTACAAAATTTTATACTGGGGCTTGATCACCCATATATTTTGGTGTGGGAGGGATCCTGGAATGAATCCCTCATGAATACTAAAGGAAAACTATATTCAAGAGCATGAGACTGAAATCAGATGATCCCTGGACCTTACTAGTGGAGTGACACTGTACTGATTGACAAAACTTTGCTAAGCTTTAGTTTCGTCTTCAATAAAATAGGGCTTATAATAATAATAAGAATAATAATCACCTTATAATATTGTTGTGGGGACAAAACATACATTTTATATATATTTTAGATAGTATCGCCTGATAAAATATAGAAGATCCTGTTAAATTTGAAATTCAGATGCATAACACATTTTTTTTTTAGTATGAGTACATCCCATGTAATATTTGGGACATATTTACATGAAACATTTATTTATTGCCTATGTGTGTTTTTATTTGCTAAATCTGACAACCTAGCCTTAGAGGATGAATGGACAGAAGAGCTTCAACTCCCAGTGTTGTTGGTATTGCATGATTTTGGTGGACAACAGCCACAGACAGTGCCCAGACCAGTGGAAGCAATGGTGAGTTGTCTCTTTGAGACCTTGCGGAATTTAATGGCTTTGGCAGCAGATATATAGATAGAAATCCAAAAGTAGAGTGAAAGAATGGGAATATGGTGGAATCTGTTTTACAGCTAAAAGTGCTATGCTTATGACACATTAATTAGACACTCAATGGGGACTCCCAAGATTGGGACAGTGGAGTTGAGCTTCCACAATCAACTCAACAGTGAAGGTAAGAGAAAATACTGTTTGAAAATTTAAAAAACAAAAACTCCAGTTGCCAAGGTTGCCTGCAGACATGTGGATATGTAGAAAACAGGTTTTCTTGGTGTTGCTTCATGGACAAACTAACTCCACAAAGGACATGGCAAAATCGGAGTGTTTGGGGAATATTTACAACAGAAATGCAAAGTAACCCTGAGCTTCCAGTGTGATTTAAAATGGTTAATTCATTGTTTCTTCCTGGTGAGGAGGCAAGATTTAGTTATTAGGTTGTAGATACTATTTTCCCTGGTGCTGTCCTTGTGGAAGGTGTTCAGCAACGTGATTCCCTCCTGGGCAATGTTTGAATTTAATTATGTTCAGGGACTATGCAGAATGCATCAATTTATTAACCTTGTTTACTTCAAGATTCTAAATTGATGCACTTATTCAAACAGGGTAGTTTCATATACTCATTCTGAGCCATTCACTTGTGAAAGAAAAATGTCATCTTTAGCAAGTAATTATAGCTAAAAAGGCTACAACTAGGTAATAAGGCTTTAGAACAGAAGCAGTAAAGATTGCATTAGCAATCTGCCTCAGGAGAACCAGAGAGCCTGGCTGACACGTTTTGAGCAAGATGACCAAGTGTAGCATGATACGACCCACACTGCCAGCCCACATTCTCAGTATGACCCACATAGCTTAGATTTTTAAAACAGTAATTTCTGCAAATGAGGGATGGATGATCAGCCTGATAGACTTCTAATATGGGAGGCAAGAGTATTATTTTCCATAAAGGCAACAATCTTGATAGAAAATTTTATATCCAAACAATGTACTATTTTTCTGTATTATTTTCCCTGTTATTCTAGAAAAAATTCAAAGTGTACAAAATCTCTAATTCTATTCTCTTAAGACCAGTCACATTAGGGAAGCTTTCCCAATATGCCCACCCTTCTTTCTATAAGAGCCCTTCTTCTAATTGGCTTCCTTGGCCCAGCAATAATCCAGAGGCTACTAGAAACCCACTGACTACAGGCCTCTGAGGTTTCTTGAAAAAATTGACCCAAATCACGTTTTTCTGGTTAGCTAAATCTTGAATCTACTTTTGTTCCAATGATAGGTTTCTCTAGGAGTTTACAATAGCACTGAAAAGTCTCCAACAGGTAAAGTAAAGGCCTTATGTTTGAACAAGTGCTGGGCATAGCAGGTGACACCTGTCAGGATACACACAACATCTACAACCTAGATTGTTTATTCTCTGACTACTCCCTGAAATTTCTCTCCTGCTCTTTCTTACTTAAGGTTGACCCTTTCCTCTGCAGCTCCTAAAGCTCTATTATAGCAAACCAGCTGTTGAGGCGCTACAAACAGCCTGTTCTCTATCTGGTAAAATCTTTGCAGTGAAAGAAGGAGATGGTATTTTTGTCCGCTGTCCCCCATCAATGATGGGAACCACTGGGCACAAAGTTGTGGCTCAATACATGTGTTACCTGTTCCAAAACCTCCCTAGCACAGGGCAGAGATGATACATACCTGACACATATGCTGTCATTTTAACTATATTTCCATTCCTACACTTACGTTAATCATTCCTGCTGAGAAGCTTCAGAATTCTTCTCCCCATAGCACTGAAGGCTTCCACTACCAAATAGAATTCCTCTGCTAAATGAAACGAGCTGTGGAACCACAATAATATTCTTGCTGTAAGAAAATCACACCAGCTATCTTTCTGTAACTCTGAATCCTTATTTTCAGGTTCAATCACAACAAAAACAATAACAATGTACAATTATAATAATGTCAGGAACAGTGCTGGGCATATCACACATATTCTCTCGAATCCTTCAAATAGTTCCACAGGCATTTACAAAGAGGAATATGAACCCCACAAAGACAGACAACTATAATTTGGCAGTGCTGAATTCATACTCAGAAATACCTGGGTACAAAGTTGGTGCTTTTTCTTCTAAGACATTTTGTTGCCCAGAATTATGGAAACTGTTTTAATAGGAACATTTTGCATGTGAATTTGCAAAAGGAAGGATATTTTTTTTCCTTCCCAAATGAAGAACTGTAGGGTTAGTTAACACCTCAAATATATTTTCCATATCCTGGGTAAATTAAAGTTTCTTGCTTTGAGTTAATAATATAAAAAATCACTCTCCTTAACCTATACTTTTTTTTCCTTTAGCCTTGCTAAGTAGAACACCCAGTCAACTCTTCCCTTTGAATCAGTTCCTGATAACGGAGGCTGACTTTGCAGTTTTCATTTTAAAGAGGAAATAAAGGCAGGTTTTCTTTGTCATTGATTTGTCTCAAGGAACATAATAGCAAAACATTCTAGTAGAATTGAGGTGTAGACCTTGTGCCTGTACATTGATTTTCATGTTCTCAGATGTTCCCACCACCTAGTGGGCTTGCAAAGCCGGTTTGTGATAGTTAAGACTATCCTGGGAATATCAATAGAAATATGCCCCAACAGTTTGCTTATTACTGAGTAAAGAATTGTTAAGATAGATTACGTTTAAGTCTCATTTTCCTCATTTATAAAATTAGGGAATTTTCAAACTTTTAAAAAGCATAAGTCTCTTTTATAAAATAAAATCTTTGGATAAACTTCCAAAAATAGAACTGATAAAAGTGGAAACACTGGGGTTAAAAAACAGGTTGGGATGCACAACCAGAAGCCCAGGAGTCACCCCTGGTCCACACCCTTTAGTTGCTTTGGGGACGTGCGTAGGAAGCTCTCCAAGACACAGTGTGGCAACCACTGGATGAGATGTTCCTGAAGATTATCTCCAGCTCTGGCATTCAAGGACCTGTGTGTGATTCCTCCCTACCACATGCTAGTCACATCAATGTTGCAGCAGGATGTTCTTGCTCCTCTACAGGCAACAGACTGCAGCTCTTCATCTCTCTCAGCCCATTCAGGCAATGCTCGTACCTTTCTCGTTTCCTCAAGCACTGTTGTTAATGACGTGTTCTCAGAAACTTTTGCTGAACCGCTATCATCTTTCTTCCTATTGCGTGTAGAAGCCAGGATGTCCACACCCTTAAACAATTTTTAAGAAATATTTCAGCACAACTGAGTCTCGATAGTCTGGGGAAGGAAGAAAGTGTTACATATTCACTTCCTGGTAGAAATGGAGACCTCAGCTCAAAAAAAGTTAATGATAATAACTTGAAGTTTAAGGTTTGGTTTAGACTACTACTACCTTCTGGTAGTCCTCCTGGTGCACTGACATGATGATCTTCCAACAGAACGATGAGAGTTTTAATGAAAAAACACAGCCAGTCCAATGCAATCCAGTGCAGATGAGTCCTTATCTGCTGATACTCAGTAATAACACCATTAGAAATGGGCTTGGTATCCTCTGAGCAAGTGTGTTCTGGAATCTACATTTGCATGTCAGCTCTGCCACTTTGTAAGCTGTGTAAAAGAGGAAAAATAACTTAATTGCTCTGAGCATTAGTTTCCTTTTTCTGTAGTGGAAATGATGCCTACCTTGCAAAGTTTTGTGAGAATTAATGACATGGCATGCTAAATTTTCCACCAAATGACTGGTACATAATTGGGGCTCGATATAAAGTTTGCAGTTTTCCTTTAAATAGAAGGGACATGGCTACAGACACTGGACAAACTTTGTGAGTACATCCTATAGCCAAAAGCAGAAGAATAATTTCACTCATGTTCAGCAGAGGAAATGTGATTAATTTTACCTCTTTGCAGCTAAATATTAACAAACACTATGAACGTTATGTCATCTTAGTACCAAAAAACTAAAAGAAACCAGGATGGCCCTGAAAATTGTAAAACAGCAAATGATATAATTTCCACCTAATTGTATTATGTTAAACTCTATTCTCAGAAAACAAAATAAAAATGAAAAACAGAAAGAAATAGAGGCTTGAAAAGCACAAAGAATCATATGATTTTTATAGTGTCATGTAATGGAGTTCAAACTATAAATTATTTATCTTTTCTTTCAGATAAATCTGCAAGTAAAAACTATTAGAAGAATGCTGGAGATATTTTTTGGTTTGAATACCATGTTGTGGCAACATCCTTCTTTTTTTAAAGTTCTGTCAATTTGCATTAAGTTGTTTTCTTAGCAATTTTATCATAAGGAGGAGTCAGTGGAGGTGGATATGCTATTTGGGGATAATCTTTCAAGAAAAATGATCCAAAATACTCCATAAGGATGAGCCAAACAAAATAGCATTTGAAAGGAAAGAAGCTCAAGTGGTAGGTTATACAATTCATGTTCCCCACACTAAGAACTTACTGACAAAAGCCAGCAAGCATATACAAATAAGTCTTTTCACATGTTGATTATCACCTGAAATTTTATCTGGAATATTATTTCCAGGATTATAACAACAGAAGTGATCAGAGACAAACTACACTGAGAAAGGAAAATGTTACTGAAAGAGCATTTGCAAACATAAAGTCACCTACCTCACTTCAGAAACATAAAACAGATAAGTTGATTTTATATAAGCTCCAGGAATATTGTATGTGTGTCTCTCTTCTGTAGCTAATTTGGACTGTATGTACATGCAGAGCTATGTTTAAGAAAAGCCAGTTACCATGGTGACACAGTACCCCATCTAAATGCAGAATGAGATATCTAATTTTGTGTGTTAACTATTTGGCTGAAAAATGAAGAATGGCTTGGAAGCTACAGATGGATCAAGAATATCTCTCTAGGTTTCTTTATCTTTGCCCTACCTCTGTCCTGGTCTGTCTCTTCTCCACTTAGACAAAATACTATTTTTTATCCTTCATTATTAAGTTG